CAGTTGCTTTGTTTAAAAATATATTTATCTGAGAATCGACATGAGCTTTTAGTCATTATTTCTCCTTGTTCTGTCTGCTCAGCCACCAGATTCTTCTTGTGATTAACATTTGTCTTTATTGTCCTGATGCTGCTCAATAATCCAGGTAGATAACGAGGTTGAGTCGGGTCCTCTGGACAGATTCTTCTTTATTGAAACGTTTCGTCTCTAATCCAAAATACTCTTTCAGTCTGAGGATCTGCAACAAACATAAATAGCACCTTCTCACAGTGGATCAACCAGTTTGCTGGTGACATCCAAAACTAGTTGTTCACATGCAAAGGGAGGACCAGCAGACTAACGAGCCTAACGATTAGTGCCCTGATGACCACATGCTGTTCACTTCACAGGGGGCTGAGTCATGCAGTAACAGCACTGTAGGAGGGGGACAGTTGAACACTGAGGCTCCGCCCCTATTTAATGATGGACGAGTTCACTCCTCTCTCAAACCATCGTTCCTCTCTGTCCAGTATGTAAACATCTTCATCCCTGATAGAGTGACCTCTGACCTGTCCTGGCCTGATGATGTTCATAATAAATGCATGTAAATACATTAAATATACATTAAATATACATAAATACCTTACAGCAAAGACTGGTTCATCTCAAAGATCCAGTCCCCCGGCACAGACAGAGTAATGTTGTGTATGTTGTTCAGTGTCAAGAGAGTGATCAGTCTTACATCGGGGAAACTAAACAGCCACTGGCCAAAAGGATGGACCAGCACAGAAGATCAACAACATCAGGCCAGGACTCTGCGGTCTAATCTGCAGGTCAGAGGTCACTCTTTCAGGGATGAAGATGTTCACATCCTGGATGGAGGCCCCAAGATGTTGTAGGGGCAGGGCAGCCGACTCGGGACCCGAAGGTCCTGGGTTCAATCCGTGGTCATTGCACATATCGAGGTATCTCTGAGCAGGACACCCTATCCCCAGTTGCTCCCCAGGCGCTTTCCATAGCTGCCCACTGCTCCATGTGGTGGTGGATAGGTGAAAAGCAGAGAGACAATTTCACTATTGTATTGGAACATACAATGATGACGATACATAACATGTTGGAGAGGAACGATGGTTTGAGAGAGGAGTAAAGGAGGCCATCTTTGTGAAAATAAATCGTCCATCATTAAACAGGGGTGGAGGCCTCCGGGTTCAACTGTCCCCCTCTTACAATGCTGTGATTGCTAGTATCACTCAGCCCTCTGTGAACAGTAAACAGCCATCAGGTGCTAATGATCCATTGTTAGGCTGATGGTCCTTCTTGAGCATGTGATCAGCTGGTTTTGGTTGTCAGCAGCAAAACTGGTTGATCCACTCTGAGAAGGTGCTATTTAAGAGACTGAGCTGAATAAAGCACCTCAGACTGAGGAAGTCTCTCGGATAAAGCATGAAACGTTTCAATAAATTTTTTATGTTTTATTTTTTTAGTCCGTCCAGAGGACCTGACTCAATCTTGTTAGATTTGTCTTTATTAATTAATGGGGAGTATTTTACATTTTTTCTTGGTTGCATTGACAGCCAACTACGTATAAATCACTTGGAATGCTCTCTGTTGTCGTGTGTGTTTAAATGTGACCGACAGTAGTTGTTGAAGAGTCAAACTTGGGGGGTGACAAATTCTAAGTACCGGTACCTAAACTGAGCTGGACTTTTTGATTCTTCATCTCCTTTGAAAGGCTTCTTCAGTTCTGATGTGCCTGTAGTAGACAAAACTATTGAATTTAAAATTCCTACATGTGCACATCGCCCCAGTTTGTCTTCATCATTTTTATCTCGCATGCTTTAAATACTGAACCCTCCCCGGAGTGAGTTTATGGTTCCCTAGAAACATTCATGACTTGAATTCAGAGTGAACACGCCAAACAGGAAGGCACTTGTTAGCTGAGGCTCAACAGCTAAGTGATTCTCCACAAGGTCTCCTGGTTTCTCTGCATTCCTGAAGCTCCGTGGAATATTCCAGAGTTTCACAGAGTGCAGGAACAAAGTGTCCAGGATTGACTGAATCTCAAACCTTTATAATTTAGTTGCAGGCCTCTCCAACTCCTCTCACAGGCTAGCACAGTATTTGATGCCTGCATGGTAGCTCTCTAACAGAAAACATGTGCACGTCTAAAAACCACACTGATGATAAATACAAATTAAAGGATGTGTTGGTGGGCAGCACGGTGGCTCAGTTGGTAGAGCTCTCAGCAAAGTCCTTGGTTCAAATCCCAGCCCGGGACCTTTCTGGGTGGAGTTTGCATGTTCTCTCCGTGCATGCGTGGGTTTTCTCCGGGTGCTCCGGTTTCCTCCCACAGACCAAAAACATGCATGTTAGGCTGATTGGTAACTCTAAATTGTCCCTAGGTGTGACAGAGAGAGTGAATGGTTGTTTGTCTCTGTGTCCCTGTGATGGACTGGAGACCTGTCATGGGTGTCCCCCGCCCGCCTCTCGCACAGTGACTGCTGGATATGGGCACCAGTGACCCCCGCGACCCAAAAAGGATGTAGCGGGTAAAGAGGATGGATGGATGGATGGATGGATGGATGGATGGATGGATGGATGGA